AATTAATACATTAGCTGTGTAACAGATTTACTTATCTGCCTGGTGAAACTAACAAATGGTGGAATCAGATGAGAAACATTTGAATTCAAACAGCAGTGAAATTGGAGAGATGATATTTTTGATTCTACAAACTATAAATAGAGGAACTAAAATCAGAACTTGCTGTAGATGATAGAACTCTGAGTAAGAAAGTATAATTTAAATATCAAGTTCACCGTCTTGGGGGAAAAAATAGTCGGAAGTTAAAGAATACATCTTATTAAAATATATTCAAATAGGTGACGAAGATGAAGAAATGGGGGGTCCTGAGTCCCATGGTTAGAAATGATTTAATGTCATGGAATTCACAGGGTTCTCTGCAGAAGGTGGAGGAGAGGGGTAAAGAATATGATTGCTGCCGAATCCGGTTTGGCTCAGTGGATAGAGCATCAGCTTGCGGACTGAAAGATCCCAGGTTCGATTCCAGTCAAAAGTTTGTACCTTGCCGGGACCGGTTTGGCTCAATGGATAGAGCGTTGGCTTGGGGACTGAAGAGTCCCGGGTTCGATTGCGGTCAAGGGCATGTACCTTGGTTGCGGGCATATCCCCAGTAGGGGGTGTGCAAGAGGCAGCTGATCGATGACTCTCTCTCATCGATGTTTCTAACTCTCTATCTCTCTCCCCTCCTCTCTGTATAAAATCAATAAAAATATATTAAAAAAAAAAAAAAGTATGTACCTTGGTTGCGGGCACATCCCCGGTAGGAGGTGTGCAAGAGGCAGCTGATTGATGTTTCTCTCTCATCAATGTTTCTAACTCTATATCCCTCTCCCTTCCGCTCTGTAAAAAATCAATAAAATATATTAAAAAAAAAAAAAAAAAGAATATGATTGCTGACCAGGGAAAGAGGTTAATCTGAACTATCATCGGACACAATAGCAGATAAATCTACAAAAACCCTAAAAGCCCAGGCAGGCCATCTATCCTTAAGGTAGGTCAGATCCCTTTTCTGTCCATCCCATATGTCAGTAGTGCTATCTCCTGTCAAAAACAGGGATATTTCCAGAGTGTGCGATCCAACTGGTAGCAGCTACCCCCACCACAGAGGCTTCGCTCTCTCCCAAGGTTGCTGGGATTAAACGTGTGTTTTGTGGGTTGTTTTTTTTTTTAATGAGATTGCAGTGGCTGGGCCCCATGGGGCACTAGGTTACATGTAGGTTACATTTGAGTTATATTTGAGTCTCAAATGGTGCTAAATCCAGAATACTATTCATCCATAAATAGACTTGTATCAATAAGAATTTAGATTTAAAATATATTTAAAGTCCTGGCCTGTGTTGCTCAGTGTGGCCAGCTTTGTCCCATGCAACTGGTTCAATTCCCAGTCAGGGCACATATCTCGGTTTCGGATTCGATACCCAGTGGGGCTCATACAGGAGGCGACCAATTGCTGTTTCTCTCACATCAATATTTCTCTCAAACTCTCTCCCCACTTAACTCTCTCTGAAAATCAATAAAAACATGAGAATTTTTTTTGAAATGTACTTAATTTATCTGTGCAAATATGCAGGCCTGTCTTGCAGCAACTTGGATCCACTGTTCTTTCTCTTTATTTTAATAATAAGGTGTTTCCAAAATACAGAAAACTATAAAAAAAATTCTATAGTGAACTTCCAGGTACCGATCAGCCAACTCAAAGTTTAACATCTTCCTTATTTGCCTGAGTACCTTACTTCAAATTTTTAAAAACAATAAAAACATTTCAGGTATAGGTGGAATCCTGGTGCCATCTTTCCCAAGCCCAGTCCCCATTTCCCTTCCCTGGAAGTAACCACTAGCATGAATCTGGTGTTTATCATTCCGAATATGTTTTTATAGTCTGACAACAAAGGAGTGAATTCCTAAACAATATAAATGAGACTACTTTAACCTTTTATGAAATAGCAACATACTGCACATAGCCTTCTGCAGTTTGCTTTTTTTAACTTAACACTGTATTTTTAAAGTTGTTTGTTTTGTGACATTCATTAAACTTCCCCCATTGCAATGAAAGACATGGTACTAGTCAAACGGCAGGGCTCTGAACAGGTAGATCTCATGGCCCAGCACAGCTCTCTCAATACTCACTATCTCGTTCTCATACACATCACCTCCTCCCCCTGTCTTTCATTTCCATCATATTTATTCTTACCTCCTCCTACTCAGAACTCCACGCAGATTCTCTCACCCCGTCTCCTTCCACATAACTCTTTCCTCACCATAAGTGTCATCTTTCCCACTTATATTGAGTCACAACTGCCCTGATCTGTAGAAGTTTTTTTGTTTGTTTTTTTAATATATTTTTATTGATTTCAGAGAGGAAGGGAGAAAAAAAAGAGATAGAAATGTTGACGATAAGAGAGAATCATTGATCGGCTGCCTCCTGCACACTGGGGATTGAGCCCACAACTTGGGCATGTATCCTGATCAGGAATCGAACCATGACCTCCTGGTTCATAGGATGACGCTCAACCACTGAGCTATGCCAGCTGGGCTGTAGGCGTATTTTGCCTTAAACTCAGGGCAGGTGAACAGAGGCAACACTATCCACCTGTCCAAAAAGTGCTGCAATTGTGCAGGGTAGATGAGCAGATGGTGACAGAGCATCCCAGTGACCTGCTGGGCACCCCATGCAGAGGCAGAGGAGAAGGAATGTGGAGGGAAAACGAACTCCAGGAAAGAGTAGAAAACCAAAACTGGAATCCCAAAGGAGATCAAATGCCAGTGCCTCATCCACAGGGTTGGAGGAAGGACCGAAGTCAGCCTGGCAGGGCCACGTTGACCTAGCAGTATGTGGCTCATGCAGGTGCCAGCAGCTGAGCTGAGAGCAGCCAACGCAGGCAGACAGACAACAGGAGGGTTGTAAAAAGGTGGTGGCAGAAGGAGACGCCATGGGAGTGGTTGAGGCGTGGGTTCTCAAGTAGCAAAACTGGCAGAGACTACTGGGCGAGAGCAGGACCCAGAAATGACAGGAAGGCTGGCACAGGTGAGTGTCAGCTGCTGAGCAGGACAGACCAGGTTGGCCAGAACCAGAGCTGAAGGCGTGTTGGGCTTTGACTCAAGTGGAGGAGTTAGGAGAGAGTAGAAGAGATGCAGTAGCAAGCTGAGGCAGTGAATGGTCAGCGTGAACCAAGGCAAGGCAAGCCAGATGGCTGATGCTGTGGAGCCAACTTTCTGGCTGCATCCAAGAACCAACTTAAATGTTAAGTCCAGCCTGGCGAGTGTAGCTCAGTGGTGGATTATCAACCTGTGATCCAGGAGATCAGAGTTCAATCCCCAGTCAGGGCGCATGCCAGGGTTTCGGGCTCAATCCCCAGTGTGGGGCATACAGGAGGCAGCTGATCAATGATTCTCTCTCATCATTGATATTTCTATCTCTCTCTTCCTCTCCCTTTCTCTCTGAAATCAAGAAGAATATATTAAAAAAACAAAACATTAAGTCCATTTGAGTCAAGGCCAATTCTAATCTATGCTTTGCTGGTGATATAGGACCTGTAGCTATATCAATAATGCCCATGCGAAACCCACTCTGAAGTGGGGGCAATTGTCTCTGTTATTATTAGTCTGGATAGGTTCAACCAAAAGGAAAAGATGAAGGCAGAACCACTCAACTCTATATTTTTAAACTGATGCACACCAATCCGGTTTAGGGGATCTAGAGGAAATGTAACTGATAGTGTTGAAATTCACAGAACTTTTCATTGAGACTTTATTTTCTAAGAATAACATTTCAGTTAGTCACATTTTTATCTTCCACTAAAGTGTACATTTAATTTAGTAGAAATAACTACCAATTGGATACTAACATAATCTTGTTCTTTATACACAAAATAAAGAAGATTATTATGCATCAAGACTGAATCAGAGCAAAAAAAAATCAATAAAATATATTTTTTTAAAAAGGGCAAAAAAGAATCAATAAAATATATTTTAAAAAATAATAAAAAATAAAAGTAAGAAGTAAAAAAAAAAGACTGAATCAAACATAGGTTAAATTCTTTGGCTGAGAACAAACAATGGGCAAATTCTTAAGTTAGAATTCATAATTCCATTGTGAATTTAACTAACTTGCTAGTGCAACTAAGAATGTCAGCACATAAAAAAGATAACCATGGGCATGGCCGAGTAGTTCAGTTGATTAAAGCATCGTTCTGATATGCCAAGGTTGCAGGATCTATCCCCAGTCAGGGCACATACAAAAATCAATCAATGAATGCATAAATAAGAGGAACAACAAGTCAGTGTTTCTCTCGTTCTTTCTCCCTTCCTCTTTCTCTTTAAATCCATAAATAAATAATTTATAGATCATAACCCTGCCAGGCCAATGTGGCTTGATGGTTGAGTGTCAACCTATGAACCAGGAGGTCATGTTTCAATTCCTGGGTTGTGGGCTTGATCCTCAGTAAGGGGTATGCAGGAGGCAAACGATAAATGATTCTCTCTCATCATTGGTGTTTCTATTACTCCTCTCCCTTCTTTTCTCTGATATTAATAAAGACATTTTAAAATAATAACTATGTCTCAATTGTAGCTATAGATTGTAAATACTGTGTCACATCAAATTTTTGCCAACAGATACTGATGACTTTACTGAAAACAGGATAGAATGGAATTGAAAGTGTAAACACACCCAAGTCCATTATCATGTTAGCAAATAACTTCCTTGTTATGACATTAGCAAATATTCAGCCTTTAAGATGATCCATGATATATTCAACAGTTATCATGGGAGCATAGCTTTTTTATTTTTTTATTTTTTTATAAATATATTTTATTGATTTTTTACAGAGAGGAAGAGAGAGGGACAGAGAGTTAGAAACATCGGTGAGAGAGAGCCGTCAATCAGCTGCCTCCTGCACACCCCCCACTGAGGATGTGCCTGCAACCAAGGTACTTGTCCTTGATGGGAATTGAACCTGGGACCTTTCAGTCCACAGGCCAATGCTCTATCCACTGAGCCAAACCGGTTTCAGCAAGCATAGCTTTTTTAAATGATTTGTCCAAAGTTTCTATTCATCTATCCTAGCAATAGAGCCAAGTGTCTGAGATACAACAGCTGCCCTGGGAATCTTGTCCAACGAGCAAGTTCACTGCTATCCACAGTTCTATCTGGTCTTTCCTACTTCCAAGCAAACAAAAGATTTTTGTCATTCTTGGCATTAGGCAATGGAAGTAGCAAGACATGCGGGCCAGGCTCCAGAGGCGGAATGTCCCCCCACCTGTTTTGTGCTGGAAGACAGGCTTCTAGGGGTGAGGCGGTCTGGGGGGGGGGGGGGGGGGATGGGTCCTGGAGCGGCAGCTGAATGCGCCAGCAGGACCCTTGGCAGCAGGAGCTGGGCACTGAGGCTGGGCATTCAGGAGAGCTAAATGCAGAAAAGAAACTTGAGCAAACTGCTTCCTGGTCTACTGAGGACCTGAATGGGAAATGAAGGCGTACCAGATTCTCGCTATTCTTACACAGCCAAGGTCCGGTTTTCAACTCCCATTTATTCTGATATTTCCTTACAAAAGTGCTATGGCAATGTACAAAAGTAATAAAAACTCTCTTTTTTTCTTTTAGAAAAGTGCTACTGCTGTATTACGTTCTTGCTTGCAAAGCTCCCCCATCCCAAAGTTACAGCTTCAAGCACAACCAGGGTGAAAAGCTTCCTCTGGGAAGACAGGTGACTTATTCTGACTCTCAAGGGGACAGCTCCATAAGTGGGAGAGCAGAATGTGCCAGCTTGCTTGTTGACCATTTCTTGTGTGATGTCATGTGAACAAAAAGCTGGGGCTAAAGTCTGGCCTCTCCGGCCTGGCAGACAAAAACCCCACCACTCAGCGGGCCCCTGGACTGGGAGAACTTGAGGCAGGAAGGACCACTTCCAGAGTTGAGCACGCATTACCTGCGGAGGTGGGCTGGCGGCAGCAGGGGGAACAGGCGCGCGGGCTGTTGTGAATGTTGTGCCGTGTGCCTGGGGCGTTCTGGAACCCGGGATTACAGCCTAGAAGCCTAGCAGTTTGGGAAATTCTTCCAGCAGCTTTCAGTTTTTCAGGAAACACAAAAGTAATTGTTTACTCAAAATGAAACCTCAAGGATGACTTTTAATTAGAAAAAAAAAAAATCTTGACTCTAGTTTCCTCTTAAGAAAATAAATTCGTTATTATGGAACAAATGTGTTTGCTTATAAACAAAGTCCTTCAAAACAAACCTTCTATGGGGACAATCCTATTAAAAGGGGTTTCCAGTGGGAAGTGGAATAAAACATACTATCCTAGAGAAAAGTGTTTAAGGGGTGTAGCTTTTCCAATAATTTTCATTAAAAACTGACAAACAGGGGCTAACCTCCCATTAAACTCCGCATCTAATTCGTGGAAGTACTGGATATTTGAAAAGACTGCCCTGGGAGAGGCCATGGGAAATTCCAGGCCTCTGTGTCCTTGTGGACTGTCCCGAATCTGAGACCTTGCCTCTTGGCTGGGGCTGCAAGGAATGGGAGCAACCTGTAGAGGCAAACCTTGCCAGAAGCCCTGTTCTGGAGCCTGGGGCCTCCTCCTGGAGCCTGAGCCCCATCCTGGAGCCAGGGGCCTTCTCATGGAGCTGGGAGCCGGGAGCCGGGGGCCCTGTCCTGGCACGACTGGTCCTCCAGAGCCCAGGCAGAGCATGCACCTCACTTCCACAGGGTCGTGAAATGTGGGCAACAGCATCTATTACCAGCCTCCCTCATTTCATCGGCTAGAACAAAGTGAGCTGTTTCAGTTGGCTCGGAAGTGCATTTGCTCATTAAACCAGCAGCACTGCTCAGAGACCTATCCTGTGCGGTTGTGTGCTCAGTGCTGGGGTGTAAAGGTGAATGGGACTCATGGGCCCACAGTCAGGATTGTCCAAAACTGACATAGATAAATCATTCTGGACAACAACCCAGCCGGGACCTGGTTCCTCACCCTCCCTCCAGGGGTGTTGCACCCAAACTTCGCAAGGGACACGTGTCTCCCTTCCATAGGACCCAAGAACCTCGGGTGCTGGACAGCTGCTGTGCCAGGGAGATACTGTAAAAAGCTAACATTCAGCTCCAGACTGGATGATTCCAAGAAGTCTAACTCCATCCCACCAGCCACCTCTTTCTCACTCTTGCCCTAGAGGAGAGTATCAGGGGCAGGTGCCCTTCCCTGGATGTCCGCCTGTGACGTGTCCAGCAGAGAGCTCTCCAATCTCTCTCTCTCTCTCTCTCTCTCTCTCTCTCTCTCTCTCTCTCTCTCTCTCTCTCTCTCTCTCTCTCTCTCTCTCGTTTGTTCTTGCATGTAAACTTCCCAGTGAAACCCACGAGGTTTCATGGATTCATCAGAGGCCCAGCTGCACGACAGTGACGAGCACGTGAGGATCCGTCTTCTACTGTAGTGTTTCCCAGCTTCTGTGACACTGCACACGCAAGGCTGAGATCACCTGTTCCAAAACCCCTGTCCTTCCACAAAAAGGATTTAATTTTCAGTTCTGGTGGGGTTGCCGAGTGAGGGAGTGGGAAACGCTGCAGGAAGTCTGCAGCCTGTCCTAGCGGGAGTACAAAGGCGGTGCCAAGGAGCTCCAGGTCGCCTTCTCCAGCAGCTTGGCTCCTCCGTGACCCTGACCCTGACTCCTTTGCCCTCTTTACCTACTCAAGCGTACCATTAGTTAAAACTGAAATAATTGTGTACTGAATCACTGTAGGTAATGGACAAGGATCGTGCCCATGTTGTTCACCAATGGGCCCTCGGTGCCTGGCACGTGGTAAATAAAAAGTACGTGTTGCATGAACGAATGTTAATGACATCTGCAGAGCTTTCCCTACATGGCCTAAGGCTTTGGCTAACGCACTTGATGTTTCGCCTCATTTGTCCCATTTCTGCAATAAATATTTTATTTTTGTTCTTAATCCTCACCTGAGGATATTTTTTTCATTGATTTTTAGAGAGAGTGGGAAGGAGGGAGGGAGGGAGGGAGAGAGAGAAAGAGAAGGAGAGAGGGAGAGAGGGAGAGAGGGAGGAACATCAGTGTGAGAGAAGGGCATTGATTAGTTGCTTCCTGCATACCAATCGAACCTACAACCCAGGTACATGCCCTTGACTGGAAATTGAACCTATGACCCTTAGGTTCACAGGCCACTGCCCATACCTCTGAGAACCACTGGCCAAGGCTGCTATAAATATTGTTTCAATATTATATAAGCAATAAGTAAATGATCTCTAAAATATTCTAACAACACATACACATAAATATGAAAGCGATGGTCTTATATATGTAAATTATGCCACAATCAAGCTACTTTTAAAAAGGTGTAACACATTCAGAGTGTTTTAGTGGGAGTCTAGTCAGAAGGCAGAAGCAGTGATAGATCCTGCAGAGGGAGTTAATACAGGTGATGGACGGGGTGAGAGGCCAGAGATGGCCCACCATTAACCTGAGGCTCAAGGGATGAAGGAGAAGGTGTTACTGGAGCCCCCTTCCTGACGCTGTACAGGAGGGGCTGGGGACATGGACAAGATGCTCTTGACACCATCTGAAGCGGAGAGGGGAGAAATAGCCTGGCTTCTCCCCTCCTCTCGTTCTCAGTGTTCCACCACAAGCCAGTTCTGTAAGGGCATCTAGGAAAACAGCTCCCAGGGATGCAAAGCCCAGATGGAGGGTGGCAGAGAATAGATCTGAGAGCAAACAGAAAAACCCCCAGCAGGTGCAGTTTAAAATAAAATACATAAATAGCATCAGGATGTATGCAGTGTTCTAAATGTATCACATCGCTTTCACAGGGATGAAATCTACCTAAAATGCCGTGGAGAACAGCTTGACTCACTGAATTGGGTGCAGCAGCGGAGCACAGAGGGAGGTGGCCGCAGGGAGGGGTGTGCAGGAGAAATGCACTCCCAGCAGAAGGAAAGGCAGGTCACAGTGGTAGCTCAGAGGACAGGTGTGGCTGCAGGTCTGCTTCCAAGGCAGCCAGGCCAGGCCTGCCCAGCAGGGAGTGGGAAGAAGGCAGAGTCATGGTCAAGGAATCAGAGATTTTAGACCTCAGAGAATTCAGATTTCAACTCATGACTTCCGCAAAATGAGGAACCAAAAGGCAGAGAAGTGATGGGGGAGGCCCTAGCGGCCCAAATGACAAACGCCTATTTCTTGACATCTTTTGCTTCATGGGGCATGGTGTGGGAGGCGTTGGAAGACAGTTGAGTACCAGCCGCCCTGCAGAGAAGTTCTGGGGAGAAAGGAGGGGATCTAGAAGCAATTGATCCATACAACCTGTTCGTAGATTCTAAGCACCTGGCCTGGCTTATAGAGGGATGCGCCAAAGGACACCTTTTCATTGAAGCACAGAACACAGTGATGTATCATGGGACTAGATCTATGAGCATAACCCAGACAACTATTCAATAATGCAGATGTCCAATTGAGTAACTAGATGGCCCCCTCCGTCCCTGGCCCATATTGTCCTCCCAGAATCCAGATCTCTATCAGGTGTTCAGACCAACATCTGGGTCTGTGGGCATCATGGTGGGGCCGAGAAGATTATCCCGGGGCCCAGGCCTCAAACACAAAATCTAGTCTTGTATCAGGGTTGTAGTTCTCCATCTGTAGCCCAGACCCCCATTCCATATCGTAGATGTGCAGGTGAGGTACCAGAACGCCCTGGGGCCCAGACCTTCCTCCCTGGCCCGAAATGCCCTCCTAGGACCCAGACCTCCATAGAGGGCTCAGACCAACATGTGGGTCCCGGATTTCTATGACAAGCACCGGAAGGCCACTCAGGGCACGAGACAAGAACCCATTGCCTATCCATTTCTTGGTGTCTACATATCCAGTCTAGTCCAGACCACCATTTCCTGATCCCGAGGTCCTGCCCTTCACCCAAACCTCCCACCTGGGCCCATAGCGCCCCCTAGTGACCACACCATGCATGAGCACCCAGATCTACATCCGGGTACCAGACTTTCATGGCAGGGCTTAGTAGGCCCACTTGGGGCTGAGGCCACCAACCTGGAACACAGAGTTGTATCAGGGGACTAGATCTCTATGCGTAACCCCAACAACTATTCCATAACCCAGATGCTCAGGTGAGGTACCAGACTGCCCCTGAGGCTCAGAATTTCCTCAGAGGACCCAGAGCTCCACCTGGGGCTCACACCTACCACTGAGACCTAGACTATCATTGCCGGACTGAGAATGTTATCCCAGGGCCCAGGCCTCAAAGACAGAATCCAGACTTGTATCGGGGGTGTACTTCTCAATTTGTAACCCAGACCACCATTTCCATAACCCAGATGTCCAGGTGAGGCAGCAGACTGCCTTCAAGGTCCCGCCCTTTCCTAAGGTGACCAGAAGTCCCACTTCTGGCGGGACAGTCCCGATTTTTAATAATTTTCCCGAGTCTCGCGACATTTTAAAAAGGTCCCAATTTTTGGAAAGAATGAATGACAAGCTAGGGAACGGCTCCATATAGACCAAATTTTTAATCAAGAACCCCCCTCCCCCCATTTCCCTCTCTTCCTCCTCCCACCTCCCCCCACACCCCCATTAATGGTGTCTCGCTTTACCAATGTTAAAATCTGGTCACCTTACCCTTTCCCCAAAGGCCCTCCCAGGACCCAGATCTCCATTCGGGGCCCAGACCTTCCTCCCTGGCCCGAAATGCCCTCCTAGGACCCAGACCTCCATAGAGGGGCTTAGACCAACATGTGGGTCCCGGACTTCTATGACAAGGATCAGAAGGCCACTCAGGGCACGAGACAAGAACCCATTGCCTATCCATTTCTTGGTGTCTACATATCCAGGTTAGTCCAGACCACCATTTCCTGATCCCAAGGTCCTGCCCTTCACCCAAACCTTCCACCTGGGCCCATAGCGCCCCCTAGTGACCACACCTCTCTCGCATCACCCAGACCTACATGGGGTCCCAGACCTTTATGGCAGGGCCGAGAATGCCAATCTGGGTCCCAGTCCACAAACACCGAACACAGTGGTATATCAGGTACTAGATTTCTAAGCACAACCCAGACAACTATTCCATAACCCAATGTCCTGTTGAGGGTCTAAATGTCCCTAGAAACCCAGACCTCTCTCTCTGGTCCGAACTCCCCTCCCAGGACCCAGACCTCCATCAGACCCTCAGACCAACATGGTTTGGAGGCCATCATGTCTGGGCCAAGAAGA